ATGACTACATTAAAACCTTCTACTGTGATGTGTAAAAACAAGTACTATTTAAATTAGTGTAAAGGTCTTCTGAATATTGTGGCGCCATAACGCATCGGCTGTGTCCCATCTCTACAACATTTCCATCTCACGTTCCAGTTCTTTTAATGCAACCACAAACTTGGATGTTCAGTAGACCATCAGCTTTTTAACAGGGCGGTTGTCAAGACAAATAGCCTTTTTCAAGCTAAATGTCTTCTGAAATTAATTCCTTGTTAGTGGTGGAGTTTTGGTATTTTCCTAAACTGTTAAAGGGCCCATGTCATGGCCATTTCCACTGATCATAATTCCATTGTTGAGGTCTACTAGAATAGATTTATATTGTGACATTTTCCAAACTCACATTGGTTTCTCATACAGCATCTCTGTAAACTACGTGTATTCACTGAATTTCACTCTCTGCCTTTAACGGCTCGTTGTAGCTCCAATAGCTCCAGCCCCCACCCTCCCTGTGAGCACAGTGTGCTCTGATTGGTCGGGACGTTGTGAATCGCGCTGAGCTCCGTGGAGGTGTGGTTTCCTTGTTTAGGATACACAGCCAAACACAGCCAAACTCATCCTGAGCACACACAAAGTCACAGCCGAAGTAAAAACAATAAGTGTGGCTTGATATTGAGTAAGAAAAAGGTTGATAAACGCTGTGAGAATGGGTCTGCAGAGAGAATTTCGCCGCGATCCCAACTGTCTGTTATCAGCCTGCAGCCAGGGAGGAGAAATCAGCAGAGCTGCCTGCACTGAGTGTGTGTGTGTGAGGAAGTCCGTGGATTGGTCAATTTGGACCAATCAGCGGGGGCTTAACGTAACGGCTCCGCGGACGTAACGTAACGGCTCCACGGATTGGTCCATTTGGTTCCGGGTACCACATGACCGTATCGCGTCATAGCTCTGGGCGTGGCTACTGGGTATCCAGACGTCACGATGCCCAGGAAGAACATGAGAAATCTCCAACGAGGCGTTTTGGGGAGGTCTTTTCTGTGTTAGAGTTTTAGTCCCTACAGGGTGTACTTTGAGGGGTTTTGACTCTGCAGACCGCATGCATAAAAACCTTCATAACACACAAGGGGACGGGTAATAACCGGAAATGCATGACATGGGCCCTTTAAGGATGGAAGAACCGTGCCTGACTACCTGTCAAACTACTGCCTATATACAGTTAAACATTTTTCCCTCCATGCATTTAAGTGGCTTCGCTCTTTTAGTACTACAATACCTGCCTAATGGTCTCCAAACAGGTGGAAAGGAGTGTTGTTGCAATTTTCTTTGCTCCAAAAAGCTCTGACTCTTCAGAATCTAAATAAAGTAAAAAGCTTGGATTAAATCTGAGTTTACCATTAATGATTTATCACAGAGGGCCCTGTGGAGGTTTCCAACGTTGTCTGAGCCTTAGCAGAAAGGTCAACTCATGATTCTGAAGAAGTCAGCTCAGTGATGATATATCAGGGGGATATGTTGTGGAGGAATAGCTCAGGAAACTCTTTCAACTCGGATGATTCTTCTTTTGAGACCAGCTACAGTAATACTCTTTTTCCAAGAAAAGCAACGTTTGTTTGGCACCGTAAGCCGAGCTCTGTAGGAGGTCCCATGTACCACACTTTGAGGATAAATTGCTCTTCCAGGTGGAACTGTGGGAGGCATTAATTCACAGAAAATTGTCAGCATCTAGACTCAAGCAGAAAAATCCATGTCCATGTGTTACTGGAAAGGAGCTGTTGATCCCAGAAGGAAAATAAGTATGAGAATAAACCGATTTCTTAAAATCCTAAATATGTATCAAAATATAGGCTATGTTGAATCTTTTTTTGAGTACTGATGAAACAAGCTAGGCCCAGTTCGGATCCCAGCTAAAGTGTCATTAAACTTGAATAAATCCCTTCAAATGTACTTTAAATCTTGAGGCTTACTAACATTACAATGGGTCCATATTACCTTTAGCCATACTTACATTTTCTAAAAAGGCAATTACTCTACTTCATAAACTCCCTAAATTCGATTAGATGAGACTGAACAAACTAAAATGGAACATTTTGGTGCTTGTAGTAGTTAAACAGTTTTCAGTCAATCAATAGCCTTTTAACACTGTTGATTTTATGCTAGCTAGCTCATATAGCCCAACACCATGTCAATAAGGAGGGTTATCCGTCGTAGTTAAAAAAATGTTTTCAATCAATTAGCTTATTCAAACAAAAGACTGTATGCTAGCTAGCTCATTATATAGCCCAAAACCTTGTCGCCGAGGAGGCCAAGCTCTCCACTACTGCTAAAGCTTGTTTGGCACCTGTGCTAATGATATGTAGCAGTAGCATCAAGAGGCTACATTAGATTTCCTCGAGGCTTGCCTTCAGGCAGGATGGTGATCCCAAAATCTTGGATGGCCTGTTTAAGAAAAAATATTTTTTAGCTTAAATTATGTGTAAAGTAGAGCGTTTTTATGGAAATATAGTGCCTAAAATAATCACTAGTTCCAGCTTTTGTGAATATTTGACTTTTGGTAAGACAAAACGAGACATTTGAATGTGTTCACTTTGGCTTTGGAAATTTGTATTCCACTATTTCCTGGTTCTTTATGGACGAAATTGATAAAATCATTAAGTTATGATTTAGATCATGCCGTCTGTATACAGTAGCCTCCCTGTGAGTTAGTTTCTTCCAGGTGTTAATGTATTCCAAGCTTTGGCCTTTCTAAACAGTGACCTTTTCAGCTGATAGTGCAGAATCAGTCCCTCCGTATGGAGTTTTCCCTGTGCATGGTGTCCTTTGATCCATACAGACAGCTTGCTGATAGACTAAAGGTTAGCAATATTTACAGTTTGATTATTCGGCAGTCAGGGCTCAGTAAAAACAGATTTTCATGACCTCAAACTACCGAATGACGAGCATATCTCTGTGATAAGATACCTCGGAATATTTCCATGACTACGCATGGACAGGAATTTGCTTTTTCAGCATGAGCCTACTCGACTCTGCATCCTTCATTTTCAGCTTCGATAGAAACTGTGAGTCTTAAAGGGATTGTTCGACAGTTTGGGACATTATATTATTTAAAATGTAAAGAAAATGTTTATACCACTCTCATATTAGGAATGGCATGGACCTTCTTATGTAAATAGGCAAAAAAGCGCACAGCTTATTAATCAAAATGCAGAAATATGCCTCAATTACTTGAAAATTAAATCTGCCATCCAAGCTTAAAGGTAGGGTAGATAAGTTTGAGAAACCGGCTCGAGATCGCTAGAATTTGAAAATACACAACCGGAGAAAATCTGCCACTTCCTTATAGAGCCCCTCCTCCAACACACACAAACGCGCACATGACCAATGAGGGCACGAGATAAATTTGTGCCCCGATGGAAGGCTGACAGGCAGGTAGGCCATCCAATTATTTTACCCGGGCCGGCTAAAATGATTGGTCGTACTTTTTACAGTACTACGGCTTCCACAGATGACATTTTTGTATGGATTTTTTGTCAAAGCACTTGAGATATTCATTGCTATCGGGATGTTAAGAGCATTCCATGGAATATAACAAAAAGTGTATCTCGAGCCGGTTTCTCAAACTTACCTAACCCATCTTTAAGGAGTACCAACGTGGTTCTTTCAAATTGTTCTAACAATAGGATTACTTTATTTAATATTTAATATTTAATTTCTAAATGCAGTTTTAAAAGATTTATTGTAACTGACTTCTCCACCGTATTTTGGGCTTTCAGGCGTTTCAAGAACTGAATTCATTAAGTAGATGAAAAGAGACAGCCAACACAGAGTTTAACACAAAGTCACTTTATCATGTTTTATGGGCAGGTGGAGCAACTCTGCCTGGGGAAGAGGAGAGAAGGGAGTGGGAGTGAGAGTCGGCGGCGTGTCTCCAAATAATGATCTCCAGGTATTTTTTCGGATAATCCAAAAAACCGCAGCTCAAATCAAGCCACACACCAAAAGTCAAAATGTAGATACAAAAAAAAAGAAAGTCCCAGAGGGTCTTGAAAGTACACACCACTTAACCAGCATCAACACGTAGCAGCATATGTAATGTTCACAATGTTTGACTGGTATAAAGTCCCCTATTACACAGAGAGACATTACTTTTCCAACAAAAGAACCAAAAGCTGAACAGTAGACATTATGGGATGTGGTGCACCTCTGGCTGCATTGCATTATACATTGGGATCAATGATCCTCTTCTGCAGCCTTTGTTTTGACATTGTGTTATGCAAGTGTACTTAAAAATGTTCTACGTGTGGGCGTCTTTAAAAAGAATAGTTCTCTTCTTATACAGCCTTACATTGTTTTTCAGCATGTGGACATCATCAGAACATTTTAAATGCTAATCGTAGTCAGTATCTTTGACCTAAGTTCTGACAAAATAAATATATCTGGTATCCATGACTTTCAGTTTCCTCCTCTAACTCCAGCATTCTTTTTACAGATACTTTGTAGAAAAAGGAAAAGAAGCATTAGTAGATATGTTAAATGAATGACAACAAAATGACATTACACTAAACATTTTGACAGCCCAGAGGACTGTTTGAGGGTGAGAGCCAGCACATCTGATCCGGGTAAAGTCACAACATCAGTCTGGTTAAAACACACTCCAACCTACACAGAGAACCCTCTTCACACACCATCATCCTTAAATACAGATATCAAACCTGTCAGGAGACATTTCTCAATCAAAGATGGTTGTGAGATCTCGGTCTAAAATGTTTTGTAAGTGCCTCTCAATAACTCAAATACTTCCCCACTAATTTCCTTCTTTGTCTTCCCTTCGTTCTTCATTCCCATCTGTCTGTATGTGCTATTTGGTTTAGCAGAGGTGTTCCTTTAGTAACAGTCCAAACTGAGTTTCCCTGCTGTCCTCTTTGCGCTCCTGCTCCTCTTCCTCACCACAGGTTAGCTAGTACACCTGATCACCAGTGTTCATGCAGTAAAGGTTCATAATTATTCTGATCTGCTGTAGACCCGCCCTACCCAAGTGGAGTGAATTCAGAGTCCCGTTCTTCTCTGCTGCAGCCATGAGTGGTGGTCCTGGGGGACTGGACCTTGCCGATTTCTTCAAGGGCGCTGGCCAGAGAGTCCAGGTCCCCCGAGTCCTGGTGCTGGGCTTCCCACAGACTCAGAATCACTGAGGAGGGGCTCTCCTGACATGCAAAGTAGCACAGGTTCCTACAAGCCAGGGAAACAGAATTCTGTATTACAGTGTGGATCACATGGGAGGAGTAACAAAGGAGAGTGCCAGTTAGTAATTCATCAATGAAGTGATTGCCTTGCACTATTTATGATAAGAAGGCCAAGGCCAAAACATTTGAAAAGATGTGCTCCAGTGATCAAGCTTCCCCCAAGTTTAATTTTGAATAGACTAAACAGACAGATTTCCTGACTTTTAGCCCCATGTATTGAAAACTCAAAAACACTGGATCTCACATTTACCACAATACAACTCAATAAAGTTTTTTCATTGAACATTTTCACTTCTTCAACACTCCAGAGCCGAGTCTACAGATCCACTCTGGGGTCACATGGTAGAAAATAGTTGATGTGTGAATCCATGCCAAATAATAATTTTTGCCTTTGATAGTTCCACAAGTTCACTTAAATATAACGTTTACTGCTAGTGGAATACTTTGTGTTATATAATAGTATTGCCACTCTTACATTAATAAGGAATCTAGCTTCTTCCTTTACCACTGAGAAACAAAACGACCTATAAATCAAAACAATACATCGTTGAATGAATAAATAAATATTCCTCATTTGGTGTGTACCAAACATTTAGACTTTTTCATGTTTAGAATTCATGTGCACATACATTTTGTGTATGCAGGATTTTGCCTTTTTTAAATATGGTAATTTCTAAATGTCACGCCTGCTTTCTCTAGAGAACCCTTACTGTCAGTAATACAGTCAGCATAGATCAAGTAAACTCATTTGTCTTGAGTAAAAGCATTGATGAAGTGAAATCCAGTTACAGTGTGTAGCATGGTTTATTGTATAATAAAGTCATGATTTTCTTTGTGTGCTGTTGTTATAACGCCTATCCAACAGAGAGCACTGTTTCCTCACAATGAGATTTCCTCTGTTGCCTTTAACCTTGTTTTCTTTTCTATCCCACTTTTCCATCCTTGGTATAAACATGTTCCCACACATTCAGAGAAATAATGAATCTTAATTAAGTAGAGACATTTATAATAAATGCTTCTTGGTGAAAGAAATACGAAATCCTTTCCCATTCTTCAGTCCAAGATGTTTGTTCTCAGCTTCGGTTTAAATATCATTCCTTAATCACATAGTTTCTGTCGCAGTTTCTTAGTGAACCTTTCCCTCTTATGATTCTTGATTTGGCAGGAAAGAGAGCATTTTTTACTTTCAGTACTTCCTTTTCTCGAGTGCTTGAAGGAGCAGACTGCGAGCTCTTGATTATTGACTCCTCTTCTAAAGCACAAATAGAGATCATCCAATTCTAAACAACTAATATCCTCTGCAGCCTACGCAAATACTGACCTGGCACAACCTCCGAAAAGTTTAGCAGGAGTTGAAGGATACAAAGATGCTGCTAATGAAGAGTGCTAACATGAACACATTTTCTTGCCGGAGGCTGGCCTGTCAGCGGTCTCAGACCTTCATCTTATTTCTGCAAAACACGGCATATTCACTGCACTTACTCTGACTAAAGGTGGCTTTTACATCTCCCCCCCCCTCGCCCTCCCTCTCTGTGCATGTGTTACTAGATCTATAATGAAATCAGCAGTGTGGCGTGTTACTGAAGGCTGCTTGGTGATGGAAGATTAAGGCTGACACGGTGCCCAAATTCTAGATTAAAAATAGTATTCAAAGTGGGAGCAACGTTTTGATAAACGAGAACATCTAGCATTTCTGCTTTTTATTCATTATCCTGTTATAACACCTTAAAGCAACATACAGGCACATTCATATATCTGAGCTTGTCCTCAGTGAAAGGTAAAAGACACCTGCATACAATAAAGAAGGATAATAAAATATAGGTTTCAGAAGTCTTTAACTCTGACACCTCTCATACCTGTCTATGTGGAGCTTTTGAGCCAGGAGCTGCCAGTCCTTCCCCTTGGCATTAGCAGTGTCAAAGGTAGCGCTGATCCGCTGACGGATGGACAGAGGGATTTTAAAAGCCCTTGACCCTGTCTGAGAGGTGATGGTACAGTCTGACTGAGTGAAAAAGGGAACCACTCCCTTTTCATTCTGGCAGCACGGAGAAAAAAGAAAGAGGTGTCAGGGTGATTTTTTTTAAATGCGGCTGAAATTCTCAAAATGAAGACAAGGACAAGGAGTTATCAAGACAATTTGCAATCTATACATGAAAAGCTCCCTGAGAGGCTCATTAAGCAAGCCCTTAAATCAAATCAAGAGTTTTTCAGCGTAATAAAAGAACCTATTAACAAGCTGCTTGACTGCTCACTGCTCACCTCCACCACAGACGTGTACACCTGCAGGATCTGCTCTTCGCCTTTCACCTGGCGGACGCTGATCTTGCAGGAGAGCTGGGACGACGAGTGGCTGTATCGCTCCAGAGAGAAGGCACACTGCAGGGGACGCTGGCTACTGGCCCACACCTGAGAAAAGGAGAACTCCTGCAGAGCAGCACAGACGGAGAGAGGACAATGAGAGGATTAGATAGAGGAGACAACACACTCATTAAATCAAAGGCATTAGTTATTTGAAAGCTGCTTTGTCACCCACTTTGCCGTGTAAAAAGATTAATTAAGAGCCAATGAGTGGCCTCTTTAGCCAATCAATGGTGTTACCTAATCAAGCAGTTTACCCGTCAGACAGAGCACCAACAGGCATTCAGAGCCTCGGGGACCAAAATGTATCCTGCTTACATCTGGAGAAGCCAGAGTCATTAGTGCGATAATGTAATCAAATATACATTATGTTACTGACTGTTGCCTGGGAGAAATAATCCAGTTGCTTGATATTACTTTTGCATAATAACTATGGCTAGTCTCACATGCAAGCATTAGGTTAATCTTACAGTCCTAAGCCAGCATCATTAGTCACTGAATTAGTCATTACGCCATCCGCTTTTAGTTAAAGAACAGCCAACAGCATTAATTACACTCCCATTTCTTGTCTTTTATGTTTTCTTTTCTAACTTCGGATAACATGCCTTGATTAATCGTGTAAATGCCAAAGTCTTAGATCAGGAACTGTAACGTGATTTTGGAATGAAGACACGGATGCCTTCATTTACCCTGTTGCACTTCCCTGCAAAGTGGCAGTTGGAAAACTAAGGAGCTTTGGAGTAAATGGAATCGAAGAGGCCAATTTTACCTTCCATTACTAACTACTGTGTGACCCAGACGGTGCCGCGGTGAGAGCAGGTCAAAAACACTGCTGTACGGAGGAATCATCCTCTTTTCACATCCATCAGACAGGAGGATGGCTACTTGTGAAAGCCTCCTTTAGAGCGGAGTGGTGTCTGAAGGAAGCCTCCAGTCATCTTCTCTGTAGGACCCTCACATGGCAGCTCTTACTCTCCAAAAAGCCTTGTTGGTATTCTGGCAGCACTACGGTGGGCTAATTCTGCTAATAGGATGTCACTGTTGGGATAAACATCACAAGGCAGAGCAGAACATGCAGTGTGTGGACCTCTAGGAAGATAAGTAGGACGTGTGTGTGTGTGTGTGTGTGTGTGTGTGTCTGCCTGGCAGTCATAATTAGTTTTATAAGGGTGTGTGAGTGAGATAGCTAGCCTTAGCGATCTCCTGCTGTGCCCTTGCTGATGTCCTTTTGCTTTGATGTGACCATGTTAGGAAAAGGGAAACTGATAGAGGAGAGGAAGCAGAGCAGATGAAGGTGCATGGTTTCTCTGTGACCCTCATTAAGGGGAGCTCCATTTACATCAGAAGTGCACATACTGTAAACTTGATCGCACCTTTACACTTACTGACACCATCCCATCGTAATGAGCTTCCTACCTGGCAGGTGGTGAAAGGCTTGATGCTCCAGAGTAGCTGTGGGACGTCCTGGATGGACACCTGCAGGCTGAACGTGTTCCCCCTGAACAGCATCATTTTAGGCTCTTCCAGCAGCCGCCCCCCCCTGCTGCGCTCGCCCACCGCCACCTCCTGATCAATGAGAGGAGGAGGGCAGAGGTTAGGGTCTATGTTGTATTAGGTTGACACACTCTGAGTATCAAGCCAGGACTCAAAAGTGCTGATAACAGGAATCTGAATCAAAAACACTTCATCTGTACCACAGCGCGGACATTTTAATTGTTACAGCAAAGGGAGAGTGCAGATAAAAGGAAAAAATGCGTAGGTTGGTCAAATAAAGAGGAAAGCACACATGAATCAAATAAGTACATATATATATAAATATAATATATAGAAAATAATAAGTAGCAGAGTTATTAAGCAAGTAAACATATAGAATGTGCGAAGTATATGAATAATAAACCAATATCCTCTCATAGAAAACACACAAACAGGTCTGGGTACTATTGAAATGGTTAAGCAAGGGTAAAGAGTTTTAAAGAAATGTAAGAAATGAAAAGGAGCCCAAACAATTAATTGACTAATTCAATTAATTGTCGACTAATTTTTTATAAAACAATAGTTATAAAAGTGAAGGAAGATTCTCTATATTCTCGATAGAACTCTGATAGGAATATTGTTGCAAAATTCCAGTATAAAGAGTGCAAATAAAGAAAATATGAAGAACAAATGAAACAAAATTTGATATTTTTTATCCAGATTTGTAAGCTGAGTATTTTATATATTTTGTATTTGTTCCTTATTGTTATCTATTACATTTGCACTCTTCCCACGATGCACTGCGATTACTGCAGAGCAATTTCCCCCCGGGATAAATTCTTCTTAGTTTGATCTCATCTTATCTATTCTTGCTTTGAGAAACACTGTGACCATGATGCAAAATAAAAGAAATCCTTGCTAAACGAAAAATAAAAGCTAGCATTTTTAACCTTTAAAATGCACCCAAAGCGATTAGCCTCTGAAAGTTAAAGTTAACGGTGGCCCTCAGGAGCCACTGCTGCCCGCAACATAAATGAAAGAAACCGACACACTGTGAAAATCAGATGAGGGAAAAGAAAGCAGCCTGATTTGTTATTCACACATATTGGTTGTTGTAGACAAAGACAAGACAAAAACAGAGAAAAAGATCTCAACAAAAGTCCTTTGTCAATATTATTCTTTTTCCCTTGCAGACCTGGGATATTGTAATTCTCTGAATCAATGGGAAGCAACAACATCTGTGTGCATATGTACTTGTTTTTGTTTACATTCTCTGTATCTAGGGAATGCAGGTATGTGGGTGTGTGTCCGGTAGGCTTTGTGTTTGTCTTCTCAGCACAAAGAGAGGAAGGGATGCAAAGCATGCTGTCTGTCCAGAAACTGATCAATTCCTGCTTCAAGCTCACAGGGGAAATTAATTGTCGTATAAAGCGCAAACAAAAGCCAACACAAAAAGAACAATGAACAAATAACCATGCCTGACTTATGGAGAGGTGGTTCGGACTGGCTCCTGGTGCTTACAAGCTATTTATCTTTGTTCACATGCAATTCTAGCACTTGAATGAAGCCAGAAGTGAAGTTCGGCCAGTGGCAATTCAGGACAACTATCAGCACGACTTGAGAAAAGCTGAATGTGTTTAATTAAGGCAGGAGACAAATTGCTCTTGCTAAAAAAGAATGTGTTGGCTGCAGAACACTGCAAAGAGGAAGGGCACACTTTTGTGCTGCACTTGAAAATGTGTCTGTGTTTTAACATGTTCAAATACTGTGCAAATGGAAAGCAATGCAGAAACACATTTAATTAACAGAGAGCAAATTCAATTACGTAAAGAAAGGGCAGAGAAGCAACCTTGGAGCATCTGTTGTCTTTGTAATTAAAAGTCCCTCTTTGTCTGTCTAGTCATCAAGCATCTCCCCCTGGCAGTGCTACTGAGCAGGCAGGTCTTCAGTGGAGCAAAAAAAAACCCAGACAGCAATTCTCTCAGGCCAAACAAGCAGCCACAAACTCCCAACCTTTGCAATTTAGATTTCTTCAATCAAATATTTATAATCATACTATTTTAGGATTTGGCAGTTTAGTGGATGGCGATGTTGGCCTGTTGGTCAATCCACCATTAAAAGGACTGTCACGGAATGTTCTATATTCACTATTCCCAGATGATGTATCCTAATGACTTTTGTGATCTTCTGACTTTTCCAGTAGTGCCACCATAAAGGATGACATTTGTGCTTTTGGGGGAAATGTCAGGACAACTTTTGGATGGATTGTCATTAAATCTGGTTTAAACATTTATGTTCTGCTCAGGATGATTGTAGTCACATGGATGATCTATATCTTTATATTTAGAGCCAGCAACAGGGTTGTTCTATTTCGTTTTTTCTACAACTTTAGTTTTTAATTTAATACATTAAAATGTCACATGTCTAAGTACAGCCCATAGACTGAATATGTGAAATGGACATAGTCACCCATTGCTGTAGACAATTGCTCTGAAGATTCGAGTCTGGCATAATGGAAGTTTTGCCATCGCCTTATTGTTTTTTGGAACATCATTTATAAAATAATCGTTATGCTGATTCAAAGACAACTTACATTTTGCGAATGAGAACCTAAACTCATTAGGAAATGTTTGTTGAGGTAATATATGGAGTAAGAAGTAGGGTCATTTCCACATAGATTCTATGCAATCACACTTCTTTTTGCAACCTGTGAAGTTGCTGATCTTTAGAAAAAAGGCAAGCAGAAAAGAGCAATGAATTGGCATGGGGAAGTACTCTTTTCAGACCAGGGGTTGCCGCTTTGTGCAGGTCGAGCTAGGGGAAACCAACAAGGAATTTACTTTGCATCTTACATACAGGAAACAGATTTTTGTACTTTTCCCCTGTCAAATATAACAGTATGGTTTTATGAACTATCTCAGCAAAGTAAAATATTGTTGTTGTAAATCAGTATTTTTTGAAATATTGAAAAATCTGAACTATTAAATTGTAAGCATATAACTTTCTAACTACATTGAGTCATCCACATTTGCCCATTGTTTCCCTCTCTCATCCTACCTGAAATGCGTGGGGGGTGTCGTCCACACAGTAGACCCTGAGGGTGAAGCCCAGAGAGTTGTTGCTGTCCGGACTTCCAAACACAGCCAGCCTCAGCCTCTTGGCCGCCTCCTGGTTCAGCGGCTCCCCCACCAGGGCGTAGCGCCCCGGGTGCTCCAGTAGCACGTGACACCTCTGAGTCTCCAGCAGACAGTAGCAGGACGTGCTCTCCTCATCCACCGACATCACTTCCTATGGAGACAGCATAAGGAGAGACCAGATTTAGAGAGAGAAACAATGCAGGGATTTTAGCCTTTGCAGACCATTTATATAAAAACCTATATACCACACTACAGGAAAGGAAAACCCCCCAAAAGCATCATATGGCATTTTTAACCATCAAAGTGAAAGCTCAACACAATTCAGCTTGTTTTTATGTGAGTCACGTCACTTGTTGCAAATTTGATTCATTAATCCATCTTTCTATCTATTATTTATTACCTGTAAAAAAAAACAGACAAGGTTATTATGAACCAGGCAACAAGGTGCATAATAACTCTGTTTTCTTTTTAAAGAAGTGGCTCTATTGTTTAAAGATATTATTAACACCCTTGCACAGATAGTAACCTGGAAACCTTCCCTAAGGCACAGACTCAGGATGAGGAACTGTGCAGAGCTGAACCCCGGCCAAATGAATAATGACACATCAACTAAACAGATGGGGATACAGTAACACTGACAAAACGGATTAGTGGGGTGCAGATGTATCCGATGGCCAATTGCTCCTCATCTTGTGCTCAATCCTCCCTAAATCACCTTTGAAACATAACTGTGACCCACGTGTCCCCTCTGCATATGGCCCGGCAAAGCAATGCAGGGTAATTTAGTGGCCCACAGCTTCCTAAACCTGCTCCATTAGCGCTGCAGCAGACATGAAGGATCTCCATGGCATAGCTCTTCCCCGCCAGGCAGCCAGGGAGAAATGATGGAGTCAAACTCTAGCAGTACAAAAGTGCAGGCTTTAATGGGAATGGCACTGAGAGGCAGACGGAGCGAGGGGGAAGGGGAAGAGAGGGGGAGAAAAGACTTCCATCCACCATTATATTGCTAATTCCAGAGATTAGGTTTTGAGTAAGCATCCTTCCTGAGATAAAGGGCTCATTATTTCACAGTGACAGAGACGGGTCAGGCCGTTACATTTTCTCGGAGAACATCTCTTCTTTCTTCGAACCCGTCTGTGTCTCTGTCTGTCTGCCCCTCCCCGGCCGACTCTCTCTCCTGCATATAGCCGTCAGTGATAGCTGTTTTGATCGCTCCCTTTTGTGCAACGCGCCTGCTGGCAAATTACGTCTGTGTAAATGTCACACCGAGTGAAAAGACCAGGCTGGGGAGAGAACATCGGCCCTTCCAAGGTTACGCAAACCCCGGTGGCTCTGGGGTCACCGCTACTCGATGAGGTCCCCGAAGCTTTTTGATGAGGTTAGTTAAACATAAAAAGAGCATCTTAGATATGTCTATTCTCCTGACACGGCACAAGAAAAAAGGGCCGAGAGTGTTTGGATTGAAGTCAGATGTCTGAACAAGTCTCTGAGAAATTGTGAAGAGGCTCTACAGGACATAGTTGAAGGACTTTCAGAGGTGTTATTTTACTGAAAGAGCTTGAAGTGAGAAAAGAAATCTCACAGGAACAATCACAGAGATAGAACTATGCTGTATTTAGAGCAGTGGGCACTTAAATATTAAGCACACTTGGCAGTTATTATATATTTTTTAACCTCACACTGCTGTATCAGTTTGGACTAGAGACTGAAACCTTTTTGCAGTTAAAACAAATATTTTCTAGATATTAAAAAGCTAGTTCAAGGACATTATTTGAGCTGAAGCTCACTTCTGTTTTAACGAGTAGCACTTGTGGATGATTTACCAATGTTTCTATGTTTTAGTAATTATACTGTATGTCTATGTGTTTTATCTCCGGCTCACTCACTCACTGTTGCAGAGGTAGTCATTTGTTTCCATTTGACACCAAATGGGTTTTTGATTAAGATGAAAACAACACTGCTAAAGCAGATGGATCTATTTGCTGTGTGTTCTTTTCTACAACTCACATGCATCCACAATAAAGTCAGTCATGGTAGTCCCAGTATAATAATTACTTTCAAGAATAATTGAGATGATATACTTAAGCAATAGCTCACGACAGGCCGTGGTATATGGTCATTATATCACAGTTAAGGTGCGTGGTTCGGCCCGACGCGAAGCGTATAAAACGGTTACCAAGTGTGGCAATATGAAAGAAAAATACACAGTCTAATTTAAATAGTTTTTATTTGTAAATAATGATGTTAAAAATAAAATAGTCCCTCCGTTGCCTTCTGCACAAAACATAGTGCGAGGTGGTTGCTATGCAACAACACTAACAGCTAGCGAACATATTAGACAGAGAGCATTGATCGATTATTTGGCTATTTATTTACATTCATTTGTATGTTGTCGTTTATTGTGCACCCACTGAAAAACTGTCCAGCATCAGTAGATGCTGTAGAGCGCTGTGTCAGTGCTTCATTATCAAATCCATTCCACTTGCTTATTGTGAGAATGCCCAAATCAATGAAACTCTGTACCATGTTTTCACTGCTACTTTGTACCAAGGCAGATTCTCAGAGCCGTACACATGAGCACAATTATGCGCGCCACAGTTTCCCCGCTGCGAGGCTCCGCCGGCCCGTCCACACAGCGGCGTGCGTTGAAGCTTGACCAACAACCAATCACATGAATCTCCCGCCCCTGACACACAAGCAGCGGTTTGATTGGCTAGAGCTTGTACTGGCATATGATTCGATTGGCTGACGCTTCTGCCGAGGCTTCAAAAGTTGAACATTGCTCAACTTTTGCAGCGAGCCACGCCAGCAAAGCTCCGCTTCGCTTCCCACAATGCAGGTCGGCGAAAAGTGACGTCACCCCATTGAAAGTGAATGGTGAAGCTTTCAACGCACGCCGCTGTGTGGATGGGCGAGAGACGTAAGTGACGCCGCCTCTTAGCTCCGGAGTCTTGCTTCTAGACTGAACATTTTTTGGAGCTGGAAACGAACCGGATTCCGGAGCTAAGAGAACGATTCAACCGTTGTTGTTGTTGTGAGCGCCGTGAGAGCAAATCAGCGATGTAAACGGTGACGTCATGACGCAGCAGCAGCAGCACCAGTCGGGCTCTGGGCGGTGTGAACAAAGCGGGAGCAGAAAAGGGAAACCGGAGCTGAACCAGAAAAGCTCTAGCACGGAGCTAGAATGGGAAAAGCGCTGGTGTGAAAGCCGCAAAAGAGTCCTTTACCTCACTGAGCTGTAGTTATCAGCCTCTCACGGCCCGTCCACACAGCGGCGTGCGTTGAAGCTTGCCGGCGGGGGGGGCTGAAACTCAACCAACAACCAATCACATGAATCTCCCGCCCCGGACACACAAGTACGCGGTTTGATTGGCTAGAGCTTGTACTGGCATATGATTCGATTGGCTGACGCTTCCGCCGAAGCTTCAAAAGTTGAACATTGCTCAACTTTTGCAGCGAGCAACGCTTTTGAAGCTACGCTTCGCTCCCACAATGCAGTTCGGCGAAGCGTGACGTCACCCCATTCAAAGTGAATGGGCAGAAGCGTTGAAGCTTCAACGCACGCCGCTGTGTGGACGGGCCGTCAGTCTGACAGGAGAGGACTCTCCCTCCACCTCTTTCATAACACCGCCTTATATCCGGGTGCTAGTGGAGCACGCTCGTGAACTGTTATGTTGAACAAGGCAGATTCTCAGAGCCGTACACATGAGCACAATTATGCTCGCCACAGTTTCCCCGCTGCGAGGCACCGGCCCGTCCACACAGCGGCGTGCGTTGAAAGCTTCACCATTCACTTTGAATGGGGTGACGTCACTTTTCGCCGAACTGCATTGTGGGAAGCGAAGTGGAGCTTTGCTGGCGTGGCTCGCTGCAAAAGTTGAGCAATGTTCAACTTTTGAAGCCTCGGCAGAAGCGTCAGCCAATCGAATCATATGCCAGTACAAGCTCTAGCCAATCAAACCGCTGCTTGTGTGTCAGGGGCGGGAGATTCATGTGATTGGTTGTTGGTCGAGTTTCAGACACGCCCGCCGGCAAGCTTCAACGCACGCCACTGTGTGGACGGGCCACGTAAGCGACGCCGCCTCTTAGCTCCGGACTCTTGCTTCTAGACCGACCATTTTTTGGAGCTGGAAACGAACCGGATTCCGGAGCTAAGAGGCGGCGCCGCTGCGGTGTGAAGAGGAAAAAACGGTACTTTTCAGACTCTAGCTCCGAGCCGGCCCTGAAAACGCGTTGGTGTGAAAGGGGCATCTGAGGGTTTAGATAGTTCACTTTAGTCTAAGTAGTGGGTCTCAAACGGTTTGATAATCATTTATGTAAATAAGTATTTCCAAGGCACACCTTTATATGATCATTATAGTTATAAAAAACAAGAGAATAACAGGTATGAAATAATTCCAACTCATACTATAGGACAGTAACACAAAAATACAGGTTAAAAGGGGAGTGATTTGTAAAATATACATAAAGAAAAAGTAAATCTGTTTACAGTTCAGTTTCATATGGGTGTTGTTGAGAGATGTATCCATAGATTTAGTCCCTAATGTTGCTCTCAAAGTGCAGCAGATTGATGCTTTTAAATTCAACATTTAAAAAAAAAATCGTCCCGGGGGAGCATGCCCCCGGACCCCCCTAGAGGAGGTTAGGTCCACCACCTGCCCACACCCCCTGTCAAATTGTCCCACCCACATTGAGGATGCTTCCTACGCCCATGACTAGGCTGTTGCTTGGCGTGGCGAGAATATTTCTCCACTTTCTCCGGTCCCCGAGATTCGGCTTCCAGTAGCTCTGGAGAGAGCTTTCGCACCTGTGGCCACTAACGGTCATAATTTCCCTGCTTTGTTTCAAGACCCGCATCAGAAAGCTTTTGAATGGTGATACTTTTCCAGTTGGTCTACCTGCTCTTCACGTAGTTCTGCATGTCGTCGTTTAGGTGCTTTTTTTTTCTGGAGATAGGCACTGCTCAATCCACTCCTCCATAGTAAGACCCCCCCGGAGGTCGAAGTTAACCTTAAATGTTTCCATCTTAAGCTTTGTTAGTAGTTAGTTAGTTTCGTAACGGACGTAATGTAACAGTTGTAACGGTTGTAGCTTTTCTCAGACGCGGAGGGATACATGACTTGTGAAAAGTAACTACAATTCTACCCGTGATATATGCTCATTATATCACGGCTAAGAACCAATCAGATTGCTTGATTTGACTTGTCCGTTTCATAAACTCCCTTATGCCTTTATCTACTGTTGTGCCATATAATAAATAAACAGATGGATATGATTGTGCTTTTTCTCTCCTCACAATGTAAATTGTGCTTGTTGTGTTTTATTGTTTTACCAGCTGCAATGCAGAATTCACAGATTCATACAAGAGAAATGCTTTGAAACACCATTATCATTAAACTAGGGAAATAAATGAATGTTTGAATGACTAATAGCAGTAATTTGGATTTGGTCTGACATTTCTTTTGGATGTATGACAGCATGAGGTAGAGCTTGAAAGGGCTACATTTTATACAGAATGACAAATCTGAGCTGGCAACCCTGAAATCGACTCCGTGCTTGCATGACCACACTGCAGGATGGACATTTTCATCAAAGTAAGTGGTAGCAGTTTTATCAGATGGTTTTGATATTCCGGGCGCTGGTGGAAGTTGTGTGTTTTCACTTGTTAACATTCTGCACTCATGTTGCAGCCGGGAATTTGGACCTGATAAGTGAAGCTGATGTTAAATAGAAATTGCTCACCTCCCACTTGTTTTCCTGCGTCTGCCTCTTTAGCCGGATGGTCCAATTATTGGCTGCAACCTCCGCACAATGGGCAATGGTCATGGCTATGGGACAGGACAGGTCCAGGCCGGGGGGGCCGTACGTGACTGCGGGGCTCAGGAAAACCTCTGACCCCTCCTCGGACACAGAGCTGCACCACAGAAAAACAGTTAAGTTACATATCAAAACAACAAATGTTAAGAATCCTAAAACTCCTCTTGAATCACTAGACTGTAGGGGTGTAACGTTATCCGTATTCGTCCGAACGCCTTTTTTTATGAAGGGAAACAAGTATGTCACTCAGGGCAGTATCCATTACACTATATAATCCAGGGGGCGGTATTGCGCCTAAAAGCTGTTTGCCTGCCGCCCTTAAGACCCGGACACACCAATCTGACAACAAAGAACTGACACAGATGGACCCCGACTGTTGCGTCGCCTCTAAGCGGCAAACTCTGGGGCAGAGCCGGGACGAATAAGGAAGTGCCACAAACTGCAGTTCATCTATTGGCCGATAGGCGATGACTGCAGAAAGGATGAATTTCCATAGAACCCCATGTTAAAATGCCCAACTTTACAGCAGACATAAACATGTTTCTACCCCTGGATGCAATACAAATTATTCGGGATATACTTAGATTCCACCTTAATGATTATTAATTGTTGAGTGAATTGTTTTATAACGCGACCCTTTTATTTATATTAGGTCTTACATTATTTGCATAAATTAGGGCGTGGTCACTTTGATGGACAGGTACGTGCCTCACTGTCAGCTAACAACAACTTCTCCACTCTGCTAGGCTACAACGTTAGCTAGTTGTAGTTACTGTACTTGACCCTTTAGCCGTGTTCGTGGTGATTGTGCCTTTTAGGGAATGTTGTTACAAATACCAGACAATTAAAATGTCGTGCTGTGCGGTTGAATGTACTAACAGAACTTCCTAGAAGTCTAAAATGATAATTGTATACATGTTAACCTAGGGTGACCAGGTCCCAACAAACCAAATGTGGGACAAGGAGTATGTTTGTGTGGGACAATGTGGGACACCCTCTCAACACCCCCCCCCCCCCCCCCCCCGTTGAAAATGTACTAGCGGTGATTATTTGCGGTACCGAGGTGGGCCGGTCGAGAGTCCCGGGCTGATTTGTAGTCCCAGTCCGCCGCTGCCCACGGGTAAATGTCTTCCCAGTCTTTGTTGTATGTGCATCTTCTTCTTTTCTTAGCTGTAGTTTCAGTTTCCTCCATTTTCCATAACCTGCTGCGTCGCCTGCGTTATTGACTTTCATTGTTGTTGTTTGGCGGGGCCGCGGCGGTGTGTGTGTGAGTGAGTTACTCTCATTGGTTAACACTTGACCAGCACCCGCCGTGTCTTACAGTTTGATTGACAGCAAACACAGCTCCGTGATGATAGCCTTCCCTGCTTTCTCAACAGCCATTGGATAAATCTGATTTTAGAAAAGCGTTTTAGCCAATCAAAATGAAATATGCGGGACATCGTCTCAATTTGCGGGACGCACCAAAAGTCGTGAAAATGCTGTGCAAAGCGGGACATCTGGTCACCCTATGTTAACCCCGTTAGCAGGTGTTTGTGTGATTGTTAGCTTAGCTTGTTATATAGCTTATTAGCCAGCTAAGGACGTAACCCTTTATACATATATAGTTTAGTTTATGATTCAGCCTTGGGTAAGACTTTTATAGTCTATGGCTATGACTCCCATAATGCTAAACGGGAGCAAATGTTAAAAGGGGACCCAATTATCCCAGTGGTGGCTGCCGGAGCTAACGGAGCCGCAGGGGTCTAGCTCCAGCCGGCGTCCTGGAGCTAGCCCCCTGCGGCTCCGTTAGCGCCGGGCGACGGAGTCCGGCGTTATAACTGGAGATCAAGGAATGCAGTGAAACCCGGACTTGGTTCGCCTGCAGCCCGCTGTAGTATTAGCTAAATCAATTATGTTGAACAAGGCTTATTAAGCTGAACATCGCCACAATTGTTCTGCTATGTATCGGTACTTCTTTTATTTTATTAACGTGTGAATGACAAGCATTAAGAATAAGAACAAATAGCTAATTCTCTTGCAGATTGTCTCGTTTGACAGACTGTGTGATACACCGAGCGAAGAAGAACAGACTGCGTGATATAAACAAACAACAAATAGCGTGTGCGTTCCATTTTCACTCTACAGCGAGAAGCTCATGGGGCTTTCCCGAACCTGTGTCGAGAGCTGGAGTTAAATGAAATCTCAGATTTGCCTTCTTAATAGTTTGTTTGGGTCCCTCACTTCCGTTTCGCTTCTCATGCACTGATTCGCTAGCTGTACAGCCAATCAGAGTGATTTCTTTTGCCGACTGCCTTTGGCCGACTTTTTGGCCGAAAAGGCGTCGGCCCGGCTGAAAAGACACGACGGTGCGGGACACACCAATCTGAGTAGGGCGTGTCAGCGCTCATCGTCGGCCTGACGCTCACCGATGCCGATAATCGGCCTGGTGTGTCCGTGCCTTTAAACAACAAATGAAGAACAAGAAGAAAACACAACAAAACGAACAAAATACAAGAAGAAGTTAGTATGGCGATTTCAGATAACACACAGGAGCTAGAAGACCCACCTGCTTCTTTTAAATCAGCTGTGTGGGAACATTTCGGGTTCCCTGTGGACTACAATAACGATGGAGTGCGAGTGGTGGATCGGACGAGGACGGTGTGTCGGTGTTGTCCGACAGCGGTGCGGTATGCTAATGGTAACAGACGCCAAACATGCTAAATCATATCAGAAGGCATCACCCAGATTTGCCAATCAACGGAGCCCGGCGAAAGACAACAGCAGTTCAACAGCTTATCCCCGCTGTTTTTAAGAAGCCAATAGACATGAAAGCCGAGAGACCAAAATAAATAACGGAAGCTATTGGCATATATATTATAACGACTATGCGCCCTTGAAAACACTTTCTTATTATTTATTTTGTAATATTTTCAAGACATTCTTTTTAGTTTTACAGCTTGATGAAACCTTCTTGTTTGACATCAGCCATTATAGATAATATGGCCATCTGAGTGTGTGTGGTATATTTGTGGTTTGTTTTTAACTGTGTAATAGGCCTACAGTTAATTATTCAAAATGTTAGAGTTCCTTATTTTTATACTGAAACTTGCACTACTGTTAAATAACAACAAACCTGGAATTATGCATTTGGGACTTTTTTTGTGCTTTTTCTTGTTGTACCGAACCCATACCGAACCGTGACCCCAAACCGAGGTACATACCGAACCGTGAATTATGTGAACCGTTACACCCCTACTAGACTGTCAATGAAATGTAGACCACTCCCCTATCCAAGCCCATAAAACTCACTCCCTTCTTTCCATCCAGAGACTGCAGGCAGAACAAATGAGACCACTGTGAGTTTGCATATGGAGATCTCAATTGTTTGTACCTTAAATCTTTACAATTATTTTGTTATTTGTTAAGCTAGATCCCTATTGATTTGTTCCTACATTGTGAGGAAAAGGAGCATTATTTAAGGCTCCTATTTTTTCCATTGTCTACCTGACTTGTAATATATTACCTATATTCTTTTATTTAGAGAAAATCCTCCACAGTACATCCAGGTCTTACTATCCACAAACCACCGGATTGACTGCAATCAAATGTTAAACAGTCTTTTGCATCCAGTGTTTTAATGTGCACCCCACCTGAGATGTTCAGTGAACCACCACTCCACCAACTATAGTTTTTTCAACAAACATTAAAGATGGTCCTTTTCTATTCCAGCTAAAAAAAGAGGGTATGAAAATGAGGACGTGATCATCATTATTAATGAATCACTGCTTAAAGGGGACCTATCATGCAAAATGCACTTTTGTACGTCTTTTCTACATGAATATGTGTCCCCGGTGTTCCAGGGAACTCACCAAGTGTCAGAAAACACAACCCTCTCTATTTTCCTCCATACCCAAATCTCTAAAAAAGGGGCTGCAACGGATCTGATAAAAACTGATCCAGATTTGAACACTGTCCTGACGTCAGGACGGTGGCGCTACGGCTATTGGGCCAACTCCACCAATCAGGAGGAGACAGCCACGGACATTGTCGTTCGAAAGCGCTGGAGACGCTGTAGTACATATGCCAGGCCTGTAGGTGGTGCTGTTCTGCCCTTATCTGCCCTTACAAACACAGAGCTAAAAAATGTCAAATTGAGCAAAATGAGGCATGGCTAAAATGCATGATCTGTTTGGTATTTTGCAAAAAAAAAGTATAAATATGCCTTATATAGGTATGGTCCTACACTATATTATTCAAATATAGCATGATAGGTCCACTTTAAACAAGGATTAAAATAGCAGAGAGTGACTATAAACAAAGTAAACTCAAATCCTTGGACACTCATAATGAATCAATCCCTGAGCAGCTGACACACAGACACACAGATAGAGGAAGATTAAAGCACCAAGACTAATGGACAGTGGGGCTGGGGAGGACAGGCCTTAGCACACAGCGTGTAAGCTCCGTGGGTCGATGGAGCTTATGAAGCCTGTTCTGGCCAGCCTGGTGACAGATTAGCTGGGCCAAGCTGCTCTTGGCCAGGGGCCCAATCTTGGCTGGAAGCCCCGAAGACTGAGAGCAATCAATGGGACCACCATCAGTCATGCAGCTGGCCCGGCCGGACCCCTCACACACAGGACACGATGTTGCTGCTGTTGTCACTGGAGTGGCATGGATATTTCTCAACATCATTAATGCAACTGCAGCAGGGACAGGCGCTGACATGAAAGCACAGATGCATCACAAATGTGTAAAGTGTGCATGGACCCACACACAAATACAGGGAACACCCACAGAATGAGAATGAGATTGATGTTAGAAGAACTTTTATTATAGGTGACACTTCTCATGTTGACATTGTTACACCTCACTTCCTAGATAACCAAGTCAATGGCTGTGTTCAAATGTTATTCTAATACCAAATATATTTTACAATAAATGATTTAGATAAATAGGAAAATTATCAATTCGACCATCACTTGAGCCAAATGTTACATTTAGTGTTGTGTTTTTTGCCCGTCCAGTAGCCGAAAACCGAAAAGAAAAAATCAGCTTAGAATGATATAAAATGGAGAAACACAATAATTGGTCATATTATTTGCCAATTCACTTTCTTTGACAGTGACTGTAGCATATTGTGTATAGTAGTAGAGCGCAGTATTCAATTGGGACCTAGCTCCTGGTTCATTTCTATATTCCTTACAGGGGTCATGAGTGTGTGTGTGTGTGTGTGTGTGTGTGTGTGTGTGTGTGTGTGTGTGTGTGTGTGTGTGTGTGTGTGTGTGTGTGTGTGTGTGTGTGTGTTTTGTGCCAAGAGGGTAGCTGAAACCTGCAACCAAGGTTTTTTTAAAAACTTTTTCTGGTGCAGATTTATGTGTATGTAACTTCTTTATTATACTGTTACGTTTCAAAAAATAAAAACGACAACGCTTTTCTATCTAAAAATAATACCCCACATGCAGATAACACTGTGACCTGCAGCCACAGGCTCTACGACACCAAGGTAACCTGCTACTGAGACTATGGTAATTATCCAGACTGCCTGTGAGCATAGATTAAAGGTCTGGTTATTTAGCATTTCTGATTGTGGTTATGAGAATAAAGAAGTACCACTTCAGGAAGATAGTTGAAATGTAAATATTAGATTGGGGTTATTAGTTAAATTGCGTCTCTTGTTATTGTGCTGTCTATTGTTACATTTTTTCACACAAAAGCATCAAATGTGGCATTTATTGTTTGTATTTATTTCATTTAGCTCAGAACACAATAATAAGTAACGTATTGACCATGACTCATCAGTGAGAGTCTCTAAAGCTATCACATTGGTATGGCGTTCAACAAAATTACAGGCATAAAACTGAGTTTGGAATTATACTGAATTCATGTATTTGGTTAGAGTGTAAGTTCATCCAAAACAAAAATGATAAAAGGAACATCGCTTCCCTGAGTAACACTACGAAGTATAACTTGCCTTACTGTAAAGGATGATCAAACAACTATTAGCAACTCACGGTTGTCTGCCTTAGGCTTTCCCAGATGTCATCACTTCGTCATTTTATCCTAATACATTTTTTTTTGTAATTGTCAAAATTAGCATTTCAATTGAGTTATGGCCAGAAAAACGGTTTTGTAACAAGGACATTGACCTCTGACCACAGAATTATTATCAGTTTATTTTTTAATCCAACTGGATATTTGTGCCAAATTGGAAGAAATTCCCACAAGGCGATTCTGTGATTTTAAGCCTTCAGCCAATGCTTAGGGAAGCACAGAGGCAAACAAATCAGAATGATGTTGCTCAACTCATTGCCCTAAACGTGCATGAGTCACATCCTAAAAGCGATATTTTGTCACAAACTATGATGCTGTCCTCAGACTACCCACTGTCCCCTGCTGCGCTGGAGGAGATCGCACACAGAACCACCTGGTGAAGCCTAGAGGACGAACTAAAGCTCTTTCAAACACCTGAAACCGAGCCTGAGCCGATCGATTCTTATTCTCTGCAGAGGAGAGCCACGTCTTATGTAGATGACCGAGTTTGAATGGAAAGAAAGGATCCAATTTCTCCGCTGAACTCTGCGGCTGTCAGAAGATAGGCTGTGACTGACAGCTCACTGGGGCTCGGGTCCTGCAGCTCCTCAGACGGCAGCCAGAGAAGTAAACAGCATCAGCTTATCAGAGCAGGGCAGCAGCCTGGAGGGCAGCAGCCTGGAGGGCAGCGCCGAGGCTGAACTGGGGAGACTTTGGGCAGGGGGGTGTAACCAGCCCCCTAACTGAGCACGTCCCCAACCTGAAGGTGACCTTTGATCTGTATCTTTTCCTCAAATGACCCTCGGCACTTAATGTGTGGGTGCTGGTGAGATCGCAGTTGAATTTCACGCGGCACTAAATGTCACTTTTGATTCTCCCTGGGATGTAGAAATTGAAATTCATTGAGAAGCACAGGCTGTTAGCCGCGTTGTTAGGGTGATATTTCGCTAGCGGGGTTTCACACAGACATGCTGACACATTGATACCGTCTGCTATAAATCAAGAACATGTCCAAAAACTGACTCCTGCTTGTCAGATACCGTTTGAGGCTCCGTTGCAAACAAGTCACAGGTATTACTCCCCTTTTCAAATGGCTCTTATCTATCATGCCTTTTCCTCCTCAAGTAATAGCTTTGTGAGAATCCTGACATCAGAGTTACAGAAATAGACTTGAGCTGGCAGGAAACAGTCATCCAAACTTTGTAGCATATCACGTTCAACAGAACCAAAAACATAATCAATATCACCGATCATCGTGACTTTACAAAGTTCACAGTGCACTCTCACCAGTCACGATGGAAGGAGATATTGTCACTGTTATGTCTACTAACATAAAACGGGCTACCAGAGGCATGGAGGCCATCTCTCTCTCTGAGACAGTTGCTTAAGGCAGCATCGAAATCTGTCTGCGGCTGCCAATGTATTTATGACACATCATGTTCCCCCCCGCAGTGCCTGCAAGATGAGAAAGGACCCCCTGATGGGTGGGTATATGTTCTGCATCTGTATGTGTGTATGTGCGAGTACATGGGACTGTGTATTCTCCGCATGAGAGGATCTGTGTGAGCTCTTTGTGTGCATGTTCGGCAAAGAGAGGAAGAGACGAGGTGGCGTGAAGAGGGAAGAGAGATGTGCTGCGACGGTTGAAAGATTAAAAGAGAGCAGTGTGTACTGAGAGTCCTCACCTGCTGTCCTCCTGGTTGATGATCATGTACATCTCCCAGGTAGTGTCTTCTGAGATCCCCCCATGAGGCACCAGCAGACTTATCCCTGCAGAGAAGAAGGCATGCAGAAAGTGATCAGCACACAGGCAGAGCGGTGGGAGAATACTTAGATAATAAGAAGTACCAGAGTGTAGGAATACTCTGTTATAAGTAAAAGTCCTGCAATCAAAATGTCACCCAAGTAAAAGTACACATATACTTACCAAACTTCATTATGCAGTGCCATTTCAGAATAATATATATGATAAGTTTTGATTATATTTATTGATGCATGAAAGTGTTCTCAAAGCTGGTAAAGGTGCAGCTAGTTTGAATGACTTTGTATACTGCAGGGTAGCTTGTGAATTTACTCCAGGTGGAACTAAAGTCTGATTTAACACTTGATTATATTTCACATCATTCATCCACATCTGTAAAGTAACTAAAGGTATTAAATACATGTAGTGGAGTAAAAGTACACCATTTACCTCTGAATTGTAGTCGAGTAGAAGTAAAAAGTAGCATAAAATTGAAATACTCAAGTAAAGTACTAGTACCTCAAAATTGTGTTCAAGTACAGAACCTGAGTAAATCTACTTAGTTACTTTACACCACTGACAGCCACACGCTGCCCTGCTGTCATGTCTCTTTACTAAAGGTGACAGCCAGAGAGGTGATGGCACGAGGAAAAGGAAGAGGGTCCCGGAGGCCTCGTGAATCAATGCTGGCAAGAGCGTCTTTGTCACAAGCACACACACTGTGTCTCAGATACACACACTACTGTATGATAAACAATTACTGCCAATCTACACTGCAGTTGATAAAGGCCCTCGAGGGACAGGATGATGAATGTAGGCCACGAGGAAAAGCTGCCTTCATAATGTGGTACACTGAGCATCACAGGTTTACATTACATAGTGAACATTTACTTTATAGTGTACAGTGTGTTCTTTATAAAGTTACACATTCACTATAGCTAGAACCAACCCGGTATCACGGCAAGACGTGAACATGTGACGATCTACCATGCTGGGAGACGTGAATATGTCACGGTTTCGTCCCTTCAAACGTGACAGTTACACGGTATTGTTAACATGGCCCAACCAGTGGAGAAATACCCGGAAGTGCCAAGCAAATGCTCTACCAAGACTATTGGTCGGTTTTTATTGTCAAAATTAGATGTTTTTAATTTGTCGACACCTCTTTTAGCAGAAACAAAGGCTACATTAATGTATTAAATCGATGTTAATCCATGTGTGTGGATCATAGACTGTATATATACTGTAAAGGTGTGGATGTGGAATTAACGGACGTGACGTTGTGCGATTGCGTTGCCAGGCAACGCAATTTACAAACTCTTCAACTACAACCCTAATTATATTTAAAAACATTTTAGAAGGCCTCACGAAATACTTTAATGTAAATTAAAATGTAAATGTGAAGGGATGTGTGTAATGTGGTGATTGACATTATTCATCCACGGATCTATGGGTTGGGGGTATTGTTCCGCACGGACATTTCAGTTAACCGGACTGCCTGTTGATGTGAAATCCGAAAACATTTAAAAAAAATAAAATAATACTTTATTCCGAGTGTGCTTGCTTTTCTCTTTGGAGGTCATCACATAACGGCATTGTAATACACGGTTCGGCTGCATTAAATATTACATATCTGCCGTAGTTCTCTATTTATAGAGCCCTGATGACAAGACTTCTGGACAAACAGGAAGAAGTGCCGCCAAAACTGAAAACGTGACGTGGATCATAAATATATCAGCAATTAAACAACATCTTACATTTCTTTTCACACAATACGTCTCCTTGCAGTATCAATACTAATTCGGCTGACTTTTATATTTGATCCAATTGGTAGATAGGCTGTATTTACACCATAACGGTGCACAGCTGATAGAAAGGCACATCTAGTGGTTAAAGCACGTTATTGAATTTGATTATTTGATTATTTTTCACAAAAATGAAACCATCAATAGCAGAAACAGAATTAACTGTCATTAGTAAACCACCCAAATAAAAAGATCATACGTGGTTTTGTTTTACATATATTTTAAGGATAATAACAGCAATGTAACACTGTCTATGACACTTACTGTATAACACTGATTTGAAAAACATACAGAAAAAACTAATTCACTTCACCTTAATAAAGTATTTAAATATACATTTCAGGTGTGCTGTTTTGTTTAGATCATTGACATCTGGAGCTCTTTTAATGTCCTTTTTGATTATTGTTACACCAGGTCTTGTCAAAACCTTTATTCCATATTCAATACCCATGACTAAACAAAACAGCAATTCTACTCCACTACAATTCAGAGGTTAACCTGGTATTTTTACTCCACTACATTTATTTTAGTTACTTTGCAGATTCTGATTAATGATGTGAAATATAAACAACCCTTAAATCAGGCTTTAGTTACACCTGAGTAAAATTCAGTTGTAGTTTTGTTTTATTGTAAAATGCCTTTTATGCTGCTGTAACAACAACAATTTCCCAATTTGGGATCAATAAAGTACTATCTATCTATCTATCTATCATATACACAACTAATTCAATAACGTGCTTTAACCACTAGGCGGTGCACACAAGGTACACACAGCCATAATAACTTTGTATTATTAGTGTAGGACACTTGTGTATGTATAACATCTGAAGATGTGTAGTTTTATTCACGTTTTCACATAATTGTACAGGATATTGCTATATTATTTCACATGTTTTACTTCTAATATCTGATTTGTAAAACATCACAGACAGAAAGGTATATCCGTCATTTAACAGTAAGCTATTGAAATTCTGAATCCATAGATGTGTCTCCCATCACCCAAATCCCCTGACTATTCTCTCAACTCAGTATTTACATTCTTATATTCAAAGAAAATCAGTAATATCTTTAAAAACTACAAGTCCTTTTATATCAGCTGTGCACCGTTATGGTGTAAATATAACCTATCTACCAATTGGATCAAATATAAAAGTCAGCCGAATTAGTATTGATACTGCAAGGAGACGTATTGTGTGAAAAGAAATGTAAGATGTTGTTTAATTGCTGATATATTTATGATCCACGTCACGTTTTCAGTTTTGGCGGCAGTTCTTCCAGTTTGTCTAGAAGTCTTGTCATCAGGGCTCTATAAATACAGAACTACGGCAGATATGTAATATTTAATGCAGCCGAACCGTGTATTACAATGCCGTTATGTGATGACCTCCAAAGAGAAAAGCAAGCACACTCGGAATAAAGTATTATTTTATTTTTTTTAAATGTTTTCGGATTTCACATCAACAGGCAGTCCGGTTAACTAAAATGTCCGTGCGGAACAATACCCCCAATCCATAGATCCGTGGGTGAATAATGTCAATCACCACATTACACACATCCCTTCACATTTACATTTTAATTTACATTAAAGTATTTCGTGAGGCCTTCTAAAATGTTTTTAAATATAATTAGGGTTGTAGTTGAAGAGTTTGTAAATTGCGTTGCCAGGCAACGCAATCGCACAACGTCACGTCCGTTAATTCCACATCCACACCTTTATATATACAGTCTATGATCCACACACATGGATTAACATCGATTTAATACATTAATGTAGCCTTTGTTTCTGCTAAAAGAGGTGTAAACATCTAATTTTGACAATAAAAACCGACCAATAGGCGCGGTAGACCATTTGCTTGGCACTTCCGGGTATTTCTCCACTGGTTGGGCCATGTTAACAATACCGTGTAACTGTCACGTTTGAAGGGACGAAAACCATGACATATTCACGTCTCCCAGCATGGTAGATCGTCACATGTTCACGTCTTGCTGTGATACCGGGTTGGCTAGAACACTTTGTCGTATAATGAAACATGTTGATTGGGTTTGTCAGGATGCACTGGTTGGATAGAAATGTCAAAGCTGTCTAACTTCAGCGCTTCAGTAAATAAGATATTCATGTTCATGTTACTCGGTCGATCAAAGACATTTCCAAATATTCGCAGCATGCCAACACTGACAAGGTCAAGCAACTTCAAAACGCATTACAAGGTTCCCTGTATCATCTTTGCTGCTGTTTCAAACGATGGTAAGATATAGATTTCAGCTTCTCTGCGATTTCTTTAGTTTTAGGTTTAAGGAATGTCAGTTTACACACTGGGTTATATGGAATGAAGTGTCTTACAGTGGGCTCACCTGTGTTGGGCACCACCAGCCTGCCTCCAGCATAACCAAACACTGCGGTTGCTTTGTGAAGAGGCCTGCTGGGAGTCAGAGAGACTTGTGGAGTGAACAGATTTTTGCCTCTTCTGCCCAGCGTGGTCCCAACTGGAACCCCTCTGTAGTCTGGAGCCAGGCCCCGTGGAAATGTCTGAGGGTGGGACATGACATGGTACTCTGCCCTTTCTGCCACCCCTAGAGAAACAATCAAATACAACGTTTTTGCAGTTAAACTAACACTGTTCATTAGACCCAGAGCAAAAAGAAGGTATAGGGCATCACTGTAAACTCAATTTCTCAATTACCACCGCAGTGTAGACACATACAACAGCAAGATATTAGAAGATTACATTAGAGGTTGAATTCAGTATGGTGTCTGTAAAACCAATCACTCTCCAAATTGACCGTCCCTTAAAACAGCAGTTGTCCAATTATAGCTTAGCAAACAGAATTTAGGGACAGCAAGTCTTTGAAGCTTTGGATTTCTCTTCAAGCTAAAGCAGTGCGCATGGATCTGTAGTAAGAAGTAAGTAGTAAGAAATACCATGAAAAACAAAAAATGTTTTGTCCGAGCTATTATATATATATATATATATATATATATTATCAACACAGTCTCACGGCATTTCGTGTTATAGTCACGAAATTAATCTATTGATTCGTGTTCACCAACACGATTTCGCCATTTTTTTCGTGTCACACAGAACGATTTTAAAAGCAATGTAAATAATAACAAATTAGAAGGAAAAAGACATTTAAAAAAATACAGATTTAAGTATTCTGACACAGAACGATTTTAGAAGCAATGTATTTATATTGGTAGTATGTTTCGTGCCTGCACCAAATAATAACAAATTAGAAGGAAAAAAAGATTACATAAAATACAGATTTCAGTATTCTGAGGCTCTGAGCCATTTCTTTTCCTCACTGACGGCACAAAAACTCAGACATTATACAATTTCAAATAAAAGGGATAGGGTTAGGCTTAGGGTAAGATATTGAGTAAGAACATGTTTTTATGAACCACACAGCTTCCGGTCTTCCAAGACCCGACCGGACAAAAAGACGTGTTGCAGGCACGAAACATACTACCAATAGAAATACATTGCATTTAAAATCGTTCTGTGTGACACGAAAAAAAGGTGAAAATCGTGTTGGTGAACACGAATCAATAGATTACATTAATTTCGTGACTAATAACACGAAATGCCGTGAGACTGGGTTGATATTATATATACATTTGGTTTGGAAGTGCCCACCAACAAACTGTGAAATAAGACACATTTTTTTCGTTGGCTGCCTAAGTAAGAAAACATGAGATTTTATCAACATTCAGGTTTTCTACCTTCTCTCTTAGGGAGGAGGGCTTAAAGAAACCAAGCATTTTAGTGTTAGGATCAAATCTGATATATTCATACATTTGTTATGAGAATAATGTGCTTTATACACATTGAAGCAATAAAACAAGGTCTAGTAAAAAAGTAAAAGTATGAATCCTTAAAATGAGCACAATATTACCTCTCCAATCTCCCCCAAAACCAAAAACAGAATGTAAGAATTGTAACAAATTAATTAAATAGTGTGTTTATCTGCTATAACGTAAGCTACAATTGTTAGCGTGCATAGCTAACTAGCTACTAGACTATAGACTGTAATTTGAGATAGTGCTTTGTTTGCCAAACTTAACTTCATCTTCATAGGTGCTTAAAGACATTAAAAGTCATCTGGAGACGGTGTTTTCAACCAGCTAATGGAGCTCATTTGACTTAAATCAGCTATTCAGCTATATCTAGTAATAATTTGCCGGCAACAGTTTATATTTTTGCCAGGAAAACTGATGTCTGAAGCCTGCTTTTGTCTGAAATCAAGAAGCTATTTTTTTCAGAAGCTACCACACACTTAGAGTTGTACATCTGTATCACTGTAAACTGCAGATGTGCGGCACAAGAGCGGAAAGCTTGACAGGCGTAACAACAGTAACTAAGAAGGACGTGGCTTAGCAATGGTCAATTTGTGATGCCCTTCAAGACCATGACCATTTTTCTTTTATGACAGCTTTCTTAGAGATTGCCTCAAAGCAGGTTCAAAGAAAAATGGATTATCCTTCCGAACAGCAACAGCAAACTTATTTTCTTGCCTTTCCAAAAAGTATTTGAACACCACAGTCAGGGGCTCACAAAACACACATCTATTTGCTGACCTTTGACCTTGAGATCAGGCAATGGGTCAAGCAGTGAGCGCTCAGCCATCAGATCCTTGTCGATGGAGTCCTGGAAACACATAGGGCTGGTGTAGGTGCGCGACACTGTCAGATCTGGTTGCATGGATGAATTCATTAGCAGAGGGTTTGCTGAAAAACACACAAAGAGAAAATGCAGATTACTGTCAACAATTAGACATCTTTAAGCAACAATCACATTTGCAGAGAGTGACACTTTACACGGCCTCCATCAACAACAATTAAACCTATAAGGTGTCAAGACAATTAGGTTTTAACATCCTTCAAGTATTACCATAATTAAATCCCCATGGGAACAGGAACTCCTTACCGTACAATGTCCCAATTAAAGGGCCAGCGACTGTGGTGCAGTAATATACTTAAATCTGATGTTCAAAAATACTGGGACAATCTGCCATAGTGATACTGAGTCAATTTGTAGATTTATATATCTACATTCTTTTTTCTAATAAAAAGGTGTTGCTGTGGCTAAAGGCAACCATGTGTGTGCAGTGGTGGAAAGTACATTTAATCCAGTACTGTACTTAAGCAACATTTTGAGGTACTTATAATTCACTTGAGTATTTTTATGTTAAGTTACTTTATGCTTTACTTTACAACATTTCGGAGGCAATTTTTGCATTTACTCCATTCAAGTAATTTAAATAATCCCCTCCTTTAACAAGACATTAATGCATTATTAATTATGGGTGTGGGAGTGTGGGAGAGAAACTTCCTCTGGAGGGAACATGCACAAAAACCTATACAAACTAATAGGGCCTCTTTAGGTAAAATACCTGAGTACTTCTTAAACCTCTGTATGTATGTTTTATACATTTCCTTTTGGATCAATTAAGAAACACAGAGGAACATAGAAAGGCTATTACAGATGAGATTAATCTGTTAATTGTAAAGTGAAATGATTTGTGATGAATGACTCGTTGACAGCTGTTTCAGCGTGCAGTACATGACGCGGTTAAGAAAACAGCATGGTTTCTCCTAATGAGCATAGAGATGGTGTTTGCTGATTTATTTTGTTGGGAATTACGTGAGCCGTTGTCATAGTGACTCATGATTAAGGACATGATGGCGTAAAATAATTGCAACGATTAATATATAAGTACTGTAGCAGTGTAGAGCAGGCTGCAAAGTGTAAGGGGGGGGGGGGGGGGGCAGGCTGGGATGTATGGAGGCTGTTTTAGAAAGGAGAACAGGGACCAAGATTAAAGCTTTCCCTGGCTCCTGCTGTGTTATCACAATGAACTTTATTATGCCCCGCTGAGAGCTGTTGCTGTGGCGCCCCGTAATGCCAGCCTTGTAAAAATATGCCTCAATCTGCGGTCAAAACACACCACGCTCCTGAGCTCTGTGCCTGGAAACAAGGAGCCATAAATGCTCCATTCAGGATCCGAGTGAATGACATGTTAATACTGTACACAAACAAAGGCGTTTTAATCTTGAAATCATGAATAATTCATTTAAGTTTAAGTAAAAAAGAGCCAAGAATGTCACAAACTGACACATTACAGTGAATAAACACCTCTTTCTTAATATTTTGCTTAAAATATGGTACCAAAGAAGTTGTATTTTAAAATGGTTAAAAGAATGACATTGGCTTTTGAGTTTTCAGTAAATGTTTATTTCTTGGGGTTTGCTGATGTTTTCATAAAAAGCAATAGATGTATTGTGGAGGCTTTATAATGGATGTTATTAGATGTTTAGTGCACTACAGCAAGAATGTCGAGAGGGCTAGAGTGAGCAAACGGAAAAATTAAATCCAGTAATTTTGGCCCCTACAGCATTTAAATAATTGATGTAGTTATATCACAGTACAAAGCAAAGTATGCATAATTCATTTTTATAAACATTATTACATAAGAATATACGAAACTGTCGGCTCGCTTGACATTAATGTGTGAGTACACTTACAGTGTTCTGTATCTTGTTTTCTTCTCACTTTGATAGTGTGTGTGTGTGTGTGTGTGTGTGTGTGTGTGTGTGTGTGTGTGTGTGTGTGTGTGTGTGTGTGTGTGTGTGTGTGTGTGTGTGTGTGTGTGTGTGTGTGTGTGTGTGTGTGTGTGTGTGTGTGTGTGTTGTATTATTTGGTTTACTTTATATGAGACAAGCTGAAAAATGAGACCCATGTCTGGTCGCCCTTCTTCATTTTTGCATTGTTCTTATGTTTGGAGGAGAATGACACTTCATTTATATTATAATGCCATCTCACTGTACCAGGCAAACTGCAGACTTGAATTGATCTTGCACAGATTTTCAGGGCCTTATGAATCATCAATCTTATTAAAAGTAGTATGAGTGCAGTTGATGCCAAAAGTCTATTTTTCATTTTGTTACTTTATGAAAAGTAAATCAACCAAATCCCCATACTCTTCTGCACGATCACTTGATACATGACAGCCTGGAGACAAACTGTAATGCTGTATCTTCATGGAAAATCAATCCAAATGCCATTTCATTGGGTGCAGAATCTTTATCTGTCTTTTTTGGTTATTTGAGAATATATTGTGGTCTGTAGTCATTCTATCAAACATTACAGCGGCTCTGAACTCTACTGAGTGCCCATTTCTAGTCGTACTGTATTTGAACTGGTCTTTAAAAACCTCTTATTGCAACGTCAAGGACAAAGAACACTTCTTGTATCTTTACACGGGGAAGAGGCTCTTCAAACGTTTCACATAAACCCATTTCATGTATTTTTTGTTTATTCATTTTCAGAATCAGAATTTCTTTATTTGTCCCGCTACTTGGAAATGTACGATACCACGTAGTTATTAATGAGAAAAAACACAATAAGTAAAAAAACAAACACGTAGCACATAAGTAACACATGGTACATATATATATTTAAAGTGACCATATACAATTTAGAGATAGCTCGTACTGTTTACAGATTGTAAATAAATTGAAAGGAAAATAAAACGTGAATTGCACAAGGTTATATTGCACATGCCTGTATATTGCAGAGTTTCTAGATGTATGGATTATTATTAGTATTATTATATTAATGAACATTCTTAAAAGTTAAATAATTATTAAACATTAAATATGGACTGAGATAGATGAATTAAAATGATCACCCATAACTTTGGGGGCTACATGCTGTATGGGTTCCTTTCTCTTATTGTTCATTAAAAACATGTGTCTATCATACAGCACATGAAGGGTAGGTGTGAACATGCAAGCAAGACATACAGTTCATAATCACACATTTCAACTTTATTCTCTAATTTATGGGGTGTGCTTAGTGTAATTATGTAAACGCCGTGCATCATTTCATAAATAATTCAATCATCCGACATGTATCTTGACACAAGCAAATTACCCGGAAACGTGCTTTACATACACGCCACATTAGTATTAGCATATTCCCAATATATATAGTGTGATATTTAAGACGTCATCATACAGTTATGTCCTAAACTCAGGTTGTTAAAGGGAAATTATTATAGGAAGAATTATAAAACCTTATTTTCCATCTGCCCTCTGATATTTCAACCACTTTTATACATTTGTTGATGTTACTGCTTAGGTACGGTATGTGGTTAAAGCCTATGTTCACAGTGGGATTTAGCCTTTCTTTGCACCATTCTGGGATTTGTTTGTATGTATTTGGTGTGTAATGGGATTTGTAAGACACATAGTAATGGCTCACCTTGACGAGAGGTCTTGAAGCTGAAGGACTGGAAGCCCCCGGTGAGGGCGGAGGAGTCGATGACATCCACCCCGTACTCACTCTGGCTCCTCCGGTACAGAGTGACAGCGATGATCAGCAGCACCACCGTCACCACCCCCGCAGCCAGGCCGGAGTACAGGGCCACGTCGCTGCTGCTCTCCACATCTGGGGAAGGAAGAGTGAGTAAGACAGAGAGTCACATTTTTGAGCAACTTTTCACTCTGCTTAATTAGGAAGCGGGTGGACGTTATTTCCCAGAATAAACTGAAAATCTGTGTTGCTCAGGAACACCCACTTAATTTAAGATATGAATACTGTTTTAGGAAGGAAGTCTACCTTGGTTTCAAACTACTTTAGCGCCTTTTTTGTTTTCTATACCTCGTCTGCCCTGCCTCCCGATGCACAGCTTCATTGTTCCATCGTGGAGTGTTAAAGCTACTAATGAGGAACCTCGGAAGGAAGGCGATTATAATCAACCCAGCACCTGACTGTCATTTCAAACACCGCCTGGCTCTGGTGTTGGAGGCAGTCTGCGTTCCACTGGGATAATGTGACAAAACCAATTCATTAAATTAGCTCATCGGCAATGATTATGCTCTATCTGGTCCCACCAGTACTGCAGCGTCCAACTCCACAAAGAAAAAGAACGAGTGGGAAATAAAGGGGCTGCTAGCTTGTTCTTGAAAGATAATGAGATCTGCATTGAAACAGGACATGCTGAGAAATCCTCTAAGTAGCCTGAAGCTCAAATGAGGAGAAATGGACAAAATACGCAAAGCGGCATTAACAGCTACAGTAGCGGGTTAATTGGGGGCTTGGGAAGTTTTGGCAGCCTGGATGCATTCTTTCTCCATGTTTCTGACAAACAGAAATACATAACTGTGTTAAAGGACAAGGAAGGAGGACGTGTGCTTGTGGCTTAGAAGGTGGACCCTTGGCTTGAAACGCTTTTCTTGATGTGAAGAAAAATATGGGTATTTCAAGTTAACATTAAATTGTTACAGAGGTGAAACTTAGGTAATAATAACGTTGGAAACAGGTGATTCAGTTGATGAAATTGAATAGCATCCATAAAATAAACTCACTGTACAATGTTTATTAAAAAGAGAAAATGTTTTCTCTTTTATATTTGAATGACCACTGAATCTAAATAACAAGTGACATGTACCAACACACAGTATGTTATTGTAAATGGAGTGAACATGTGTGCCAAGCGTGGAGAAAACAATACCTAAAAAACACAATCTAAAGCAAGGAGAGTCTACTCTATGACAAGCCTGAAAATAAAATGCTTAAAAAGGCAAAGTATTCCTTATAACATATATGTTGATTATTGAAAACTATGTATTCTACCTGTCCATCAGAATACCTGCATCTGATATAACCCTCACCTTTATTTTCAGTGCAGGAGAATGAGTCATGCAGATTGTTAGTTTTCAAAACCACACCTGTCAGAGGGATCCGTCTCTCTTATACTACTCTCAAGACTTCAAATCAAAAATATTGTTTCCTGATTCATGGCAGTATGTTCTGGGGCGACTTCAAAATAAGTAGTTTGTGGGTGATGATAGGTCCATGAAGTGTGCATCATTTGTAATTGCTATCTGCCCCGTCTCGAGGTACGATTCACAAAAATGATTGCGCAAATGATATTACAGCTGAAATATGGCCATTACGTTTTGCAATTATCCATTAGGCAAAGTAAAATGCGCTGGAGGCCAGGCGACTGAGGGGAGAGTAAGCCTCAGCAAGGGGGTGTCGTCAGGAGGGGCTTTTCATTTCCATCCAAACCCCCCGGAGGCAATTAACAGAATGGAAAAAGTAGAATATAAGCCCAGGATTTAGGAAAGTAGGGACGAAGAGGAAATAATGAGTTTTTCCATTTGTATATCAACATTACATTTCATTCATTCTTTGTTTATTTTTCATCATGTTCTTTCACAACAACATGTGGGAGGCTTTATTCAATTATTTTCTGATGACACAACTGTAATTGCATCCTGTCAAAAAAACTATGGAGGTGGACTCCTAACTTTGCCTCCGTTACTCCACTGTTACTGTGTTTTGCTACGAGTGCTGATATTTGCGTGCAGATTTTTGCAATGAGGATCATTTGAATAGCAAGGGGCCATTCACTGTGACCGTTAAAGCCCTGCCATCATGATTCTAAAACTATCATTCTGTTGAAATGATAGTTTTGCTTGCTTTCTCTTCCCTACTGCCAGTTCACCATGTTGACAAAAGCTTTGCCGTTTCAGGGTCTCCAATAAAAACGCTGTGCTCGTCAAAGACTCAATGTTACTATCCGACTCCGGCAGATAGGAGGCTGTGTAGCCTAGCAACAGCTTAAGTAAGCAGACCAAGTATAAGTCATATATAAAGGCTGTGATGATGCTAAATATGAGCAGTCAGGCCGTATGAAAACAACCCTGGAGCCAATCGATTTCAAGTATTGTCTTGTCGTTGGACAAACTCAATGATTGCTCAAGTGTTCTGCCAGGCCGTGGTTATAGGCAGTGATATCTTTAAAATTACATAATAGTAATGGAAGATGAGAAGACACTCACCCTGTGGCTTAGCATCGTGTAGCAACTTTCGATCTGCAAAGACAGAGAAACATGAGAATTGAGCGTTTCTCTTTGACCTTTTGAATGCTACAAGTCTCAGTTGATTTAATTACTACTTGTGTATGCAACCATGCCTGTGCACACTGTGTTTATGTATGTGGAGAGGGTGAATAATGAAGATGGATGAGGATTCTGGTAATGAGCATGATTATAATGACGATCATGATCTAGCCCACACTGCCAAAATGTATGAACGGTAAATCTATAATGACACAGTCCCTGAACACAATGGGAGTGACAGTAATGAGGCAAAACTATATTTTTCTCAGTGTTGACCGGGGGGGGAGATGGTGATGGGACCCACTCTGTGTGCACAGGCCCCCGGTGCAGTTGTCTGTCGCGAGCGCCCCCCCGCCACACAGCCGGCCTCCATGTTTGGGCTCCGGGGCCGTGCACTCTCGGCTGCGCTGCCTCTCACACTCCGAGCTGCACACCGACCAGTCACTCCACTCAGCCCAGCTGCCGTCCACTGGGGGGGGGGGGGGGGGGGGGGGGGGGGGCAGATGCACATAACATTGTTTTAATCATTTAGATTTGATTGTATATTTTCAAAGACCAACAATAGGATAGATAGGGATGCAAGGACGAGGCAAAACCAAACAATAACATGAGGGTGGGGCCTGCACTTGGTCTTATATCATGATGTAGTGCATATCAAAAATAAACACATTCATTATTATTATTATTTTAACCCTGTTTTAAATGTATTTTCTGTATTAGTCTCACTTGTTTGTTGTTGTTGTTTTTTTACAAAGGGGAGCAGCCGAGATGGTTTAAGTCTAGGAATGACCTTATCGTGACCCATAACCTGTTATTTAGATGTTATGTAGATACACACACACACACACACGCACACGCACACGCACGCACGCACGCACGCACGCACGCACGCACACACACACACACACACACACACACACACACACACACACACACACACACACACACACACACACACACACACACACACACACACACACACACACACACACACACACGACCTTCATGCCAAATTTCAGCCTCTTAATAAAAAAACTTTGGTCGCCAAAGGGTGAAAAGATAGATACGATTTTTATGGAACAACAACTGAGAACAATGTCAAAGATGCTCACATAGATTTGAACAATTGCCCTAAATTGAATCATTTCATAGATCCCTGTGAAATATAACAAAACGCTTTCGAGGTAACAGCTGCACTACTAACTTCACAAAAAAAACATTTTGCTCCTCAGGTGGTGTGTTGCTCTGGAGCACAAACACACTCTGCTTATGCTACACTCCATCAAGCCTGCTTTCCACCTCCAGATGCTTTAAAGGTTCCCTTCTTCTTGCTAATCTAAACGCAAATGCGCCCTGTTTATGTTCAAACTCACAGAGAATCCTTCAGAAGGAGGCAGTTGGCAAAGGGTAGATAATGTTTGGAGTGCACTGCCTTTCGCTGATAACTTTTTTCTCTTAGACCTGATTTCCAATTATACTGGTGTTGTGGTAGAAATCCTAAATGTGGGCTTGCCTAGGAAAACACTGGGGCCGAGCAGATTACAGGGACGTTTTGATGACTAAAACTGCTGAGATTCTGCTGTTTGATTTCTCTTTCCCAAATTCTCTCTTTGCATCCCCCCCCTCACTCTCTTTTCCCATACATCTTCTCAGTTTTTAAGGTCCACTGCTTTACATTTCAGATTCAAACCACTGTCACTATCAGCAGTGGAGACGTGCAATGAATTCCCAGTAAATGTAACTGCTGGAAAGGAGACTACTACTAACTGCGAAGTATACATCAAGCCTTTATACTGATTTCCTACCTTTAAGACCGACACGGTTAATTACAGGTATTAAAATCAACTGACAGGCGCTTTAAACGCTCTTGAGTAATCAATCACAGGACCATTTCGCTGCTATTCCTTTTGGTCACATTTACTGTTTTATCGCGTGGTTATGCATGAGCAAGGAGAGAGAAACATTTCCACGCTGATGCATTCAAGGACATGCTGACACTGGCAGTCGAGAGTCGGCTGCCAAACAGTCTCAAAGAAAACATTATAGGAAACACACTTATTTGCTTTCTCGTCAAGAATTAATTATGCTTGAAACTGGGACAAGATGGTTGATTTAGCTTAGCTTAAAGACTGGAAGCAAGGGGAAACTGTGAGCCTGAGCAAATGTAAAACAATCTGCCTAAATGCACAAATAAAGCTCACTTGTTATTAACATGTAATATCTTCTTTGATAAATCTGTACAAAGAGCATTTAAATAAACAATTTGAAACTTTATGGGGAGCTGTGTGCCATACTATTGCTTTGTCAGGATAAGGGTTCACATTTTTGAATTTGACAATTTGTTATAGTTGTAACACCATTCGCACTACACAAACTAAATATATTTAAAAAAAGTCAAATATTGAATAAAAAATTGAATTGGCAATACGTATAAAAAATAGCACTACTGAAGGATGAATTAGAAAAAAGGAAATCATATATTTAATGCACCATGTACACAAAACATATGCATATATATTCAATTGACATCAAATTAGCAACTTAATGTATACAACAAGTTATATTTCATTCAATTTGAGAGCCTCATTGATGGGAGGTGAAATGTGTTAACTTTAGACAAAGCCAGGCCCCCCCCATCTTCTGGCTGGCTATAGTTTCCTATTAAACAGGCAGATATAGGAGTTGTTTTAATCTTATAATCTCACCCTCAGCAAGAAAGCACACGAGAAATGTTCTGAAAATATTGCACTTTACCTTACATGCAATAAATAATCAAAGTCACAATGTAAACACTTGGTATGTTGCAATACTTTGGAGCACCTCAATATCAAATATCATGTTCAATACCACAGCTTGCTTCTACAGGCATGCACAAGAGAAGCCTCTGTCCCTCCCTCACCTGGACACAGGGTGTTGCAGCTGCTCTTCTGTACCGACATGCCCTCACAGAAGGCCCCCCCATTCAGAGGAGCTGGATTTGTGCACGTGCGAGAACGTTTCTGCACACCGCGTCCACATCGCACGTTACAGGGAGACCAGTCTGTCCACGACGACCAGCCTCCATTCACTGTGTGCCAGAGGATGAAAGGAAAGGAATGAACACATACTTCCAAGATTGAAAACTAGCCTACATCCTGTGGTTCACGGTAGATGTTCTGCACCAGAGGGACTGCATCTCAGTGGTTCACTCAAGAGAGCCAAATCATTTCTTATGGGAAAGAAAAAAACTAAGGTGTCTCATCAAATATGATCAATGGATTCTTCCCTACTGTGCACTTCTTTTGATTTGTTGCCTGAAATAATGCGGGATGATTGACTGATAAGCTCATTTGCTGTCTGTCATAGGACAGGAATAAATGCTGGTATTCTGCAATTGTACATCTGTCAGAGACTATTGGGAGTAGTAAGCCTGTCTAGACTTCATTAGCATTAAGGAAATGAATGATTGATGGGCCTCAACAATGGCGTGTCAGAAAGAATTAGATGATTTCCTACAGCAGCTAAATGTCCTTCCAGTAAAAATAAAAACAACACATAGTGAAAGGTCAGTAAAAATGAGCTCCGAAACAGTCTAATTAACAAGGTATTCCTCTGGTGTGCAACGAGGTGGTGCTAGTATGACATTATAATTTCACTTATTCTCCTTTGTCTCTGCAGAGCTCTCTAAAGGCCTATAAAATGCTGGAGCAGTTTGCTGGCCTGCAGCTGTACAAAGCGAGCAAGGTGTTCAGCTCTGGCAGATAAAAGACAGGGAGTTGTGACAGCCAACGTCACTGCCTCTCCACCATTAATAATTGAGTTCTTGTAAATATTGCGCCTTTGTCTCCTTGTTTTTACACATGAGGGATCACTTGTCCATTACCTGCTCATTAGACTCTCGTGTGAAAAAAGACCACACGCTGTAGTTGAGCAGAGCTTTTTATAATAATGACTTTGGGGAATATGCTCGAGGTGCCCGTTTGACAGCCTCTGTCTAAAGGGAAAGTTGATATTTTGATGCAGACAAGAAGGCTGTTTGACATTGTGTTGATCAGCTGTAATGCAAATCTAAAGATTCTTTCTATTATGCCATTTAGATTGAGACTGAATCTAACATTACACACATCTTTAAAAAATGTAAAGGTCCCCTATTATACTGTTTTTCATCAATATATTATAGGTCTCAGTTCATTACAAAACATGTCTCTGAAGTGTTTGGCTCCAAACACCAAACAGATCATTGCAGCATCCCATAATCCCCTCTGTTTCAGCCCTGTTTCAAAAGTGCTGATTCTCTGTCTGTTACTTTAGATGAAAATAAGGAGCCCCTCCCCACGCCCCTCTGAGAGAGATTTGGTTAAAAGAACTCAATGGTGCTCTAGGAGGAGATTCAGGTGATAAGGTGGGGGAGGGGGGGGGGTTACCTTGGTTGGTGATTGGCTAATGGTTACACAAGCCAAAAAGTCGTTATGACATCATCAAGTGGCCAAAATCTGATCAGATCATTTTCAGACAGGTTTTTATATAAAATGGATCAGGACAAAAAGAGAGAGAATCTTTTTTCCTGAAACTTTCAGAATCTCTTTACACAGAGGGGACACATGTTGATGTAGAAGAGACGTGAAGAAGAGGGGACACATGTTTACGTATAAAAGACATGAAGAAGTGGATTTTGCATAATAGGTGACCTTTAAATGGATATCTTACCATAGACTACAACAGTGGCTGTTGCACTGCGTCTCTTGGCCACGATGTTGCTGGCTACACAGGTGTAGTTTCCAGAATCAGAGAGACGGGCTTCAGATATGATGAGATTATGGTCGCCTCTTGTATCGATGGCACCAGCCGAGTTGAGAGTTTCTTCGTTTTTTAGCCATTCAACCTAAAAGCAGCAAAGCATATGCATGAGTCACTTAAATATGTATAGAAGAAAACAGATTGGATAATGTGATGGATTAAATATCTGATCAGTGCCAACAAATATGTTACTAAGACTGATTGCTGTGGTCTAATTAAAATATATTATGTTTTATTATAGTACGGTTTTATGACTTACATATCTGCAGTATAGATTGTATCTTTAGGCGGTATGCTTTTTGTCACCCCAGAGTTGTGTTCTTGACCACACTGCTCCCTTCTATCATCATTACTGAATGATCTGAGGTAAGTGTGTGTCGTGATCCTTCACCGCAGAACTCTCCCCTTCACAAGAGTCTCATAATAACAGTTCATGTTGAGTGTGTTTTGGGTGAATGTGTGAAAGTGGTGAGGACACTGTTTCCATTTCAGTTTGTTTTTTTGTATAATGACATAACACCGTTGGTCAGTGGTTACCAACCGTTGATGGTGACACTAATGATGTAGCATGTACAACCTCATGATGAAATTAATGAATGGATTGTTAAGTGGATGATATTTAACACTATTAATTAGACAAAAGTGGTTAGTTTTACAAAATTCTTTCATAACCAACACACAAACATTGGTCATTACTTCAAGCTAACTATTTTCACTGCTTATACCATTTTTTAGTAGTTATTCAACTGTCATCCATAACTTAACCCTTGTATACCCTTGTGTACTTAATATACTATTACCTTTGGCTACTAGCTTAACCAGTCATAGCTTTAAGCCATGACACGTCCAAACTGTTATTCCTTGTTTTTAGCCAACTATTTCCAACCTGTTCATCATTGCTGTTAGCTAAAATGTCCAACTTGCTATACATTACCCCAACTATTTCAGCAAAGTATCCATTACTTCAAACCATTTACAGATATAATAAAGCGTGATTTTATTCCTTAATGCTAAATGCATTCTTTGTATGGCTTTTTAAACATGCCATGTCTCTGGTGGGCTGTATCACTACATTTATTAAGATAAGTCTTGATGAAATACAGGGTTATTTAAGGTAGTGTGAACACAAACGACCAGTGATGCAGTAGGACACATCTTCTACTCTTTGCCAATTCAGTGCCTGTGTAGTGGGCAAAAGTAATAAGGAATTACAAAATAAGGATGCTGTATTGATGCTCCTCTCCTCGCATGGCTGGCCCTGTAAATTGCTATTAATGTGCCACTGGCTTGAGCTTTTCATTGAGAGAGACGAGCTGGGGCATGAGGGAGTGGGGTTTGATTTATGGCAGTGTATTGAGGATTAAACTCCGCCCCACTGGTAGCTCCTTGTGTTTGTGCACAGGGTTGTACTCCTGTGTGTTTGTGTGTGTGCACGAGTGTCCATTTGCCAGGGGAATATAACAACAGCCAACAAACTCAGAGATTGCTTTGCTCGTTCGAAGCACCCTGGATGAAAAATGTAGCTGGGAAATCAATAAATCAGGAGTCATGTTGTCACAATCGTTCTTTTTTTGTTGCCTTTGATGGCCCAAGAAGTCTTTCATCATGTGCCTTTAATTTAAGTCTTTTCATCATTTGGCTGCACAGCCGTCAAGACAAACAAAGGAACCACACTGGTGGGCTGCATCGGTCATTCCATCAATCTTGGTCTTTATATTTTTTGCCTTTGACGATTTTACACCTTCAATGCCTAATCAAGCCCTGTGTTGCCATCCATGCTATATTACACTCTCCACAGCTGCTACCATTAATCCACTAAAGCAGTCTGTTCCAACCTTTCATGGGGGAAAGAAAGTGCATTTTAATACAATCATACAAAATGTATCTTGTGATTTCATCATACCAAGTGTTATTTTGCTTTTAGGCACTTTGAAGGAATACTTCTATCTATCTATCTATCTATCTATCTATCTATCTATCTATCTATCTATCTATCTATCTATCTATCTATCTATCTATCTATCTATCTATCTATTCTTCTATCTATCTATCTATCTATCTATCTATCTCTCTATCTATCTAGCTATCTATCATCTATCTCTATCTATCTATCTATCTATCTATCTATCTATCTATCTCTCTATCTATCTTATCTATCTAATCTATCTATCTATCTATCGATCTATCCATCCATCCATCCATCCATCCATCCAATCCATACATCATCCATCCATCCATCGCAATCCATCCCATCCATCCATCCATCCATCCATCCATCATCCATCCATCATCCATCCATCCATCCATCCTCCATCCATTCCATCCATCCATCCATCCAGCCTATCTATCTATCTATCTAATCTATCCTATCTATCTACTATCTATCTATCTATCTATCTATCTATCTATCCTATCCTATCTATCTATCTATCTATCCACTACTATCGCATCTATCCAATCTATCTAGTAAGATAGCTGTAAATCTGTAAATTAAAGTACAACGTTTGTCTTATCTAATTCCCTGCTGCCCTGTTTAGTGTCTGGAGGGTAGGGAGTTTAACCTTGACATGTTGGAGGTTTGTGCTTTATCTTCTTCTCTAAAATAATGCAGGCAGCCTCTTTTATGAAAGTCCGACAGAGGTGAGCGCTGTTGTTTTTACCAGGGTCACATTATTCACAGTCTGTGTATTGGTCTGCAGTATTCAAACAGATTCTCCCTAAAAGGCATCCCTGATGTCACAGAGAGACAATGGTAAGGCTGTTTCACAAAACAGGTTTGACCCAAAATCAGGCTCTGCAGCTCCAGGCTTACATTGCCTTACTTTTATGTATTCACCCTTCTTCACTATTTTAAATTAAAGCAACATGAATGTGTTGCAATGCTGTAAGAAAAGGTCACATTCATTAAATGGGGATACAGCTATTGGTCACCAACTACTAGATAAGAGAAACTTTTAGAATGATACAAGTTCAGTGTTGTAAGGTCAGTTGTACAACTACAAGAACTGTATCATTCAAGCACAAACTTGCTATCTCTACTCAGTAAATGATGTTCAAATGACTTGGAAATAACTTCAATTACTTCAACTAACAACTTTTTGTTCTGCAGGCAGCAGGTGACATAAACAACTGTGTTAGAGAAATGTAAAGCGGGGAATTCACTGACTAGAAGAATGAACCCCCAACCCTTTGTTTTCTCAACGTGTATTCAGCTGGGGCACATAATAAAGAAGTTGCAAAATTGTACTTGTAAGAGCATTTAGGTGTATTATTATTTATGGTTAATATTTATGTTCGGAGAGACAGTTGCATATTCTTTTAATTCAACTGAATTAATTGGATAATCACAAGTTATAATTACACCGTTTCTGTATAGTATTGTTTGTTCAGGGACAAGGTTTATGTTTGTTATTGTTTTCGGGCCGAGTTTCCATGCGAAAAGCGAATCTAGTGCTCAAGACTATGAGTAATACAATGATTTCATCACCAGTCTGACGAAGGGGGAAGTCTACAAGGTAGTTGAAATGTTTTTGACTGCCATGTCCGCACGCCTCATGGTGTTTTGTACTTGTGTTTATTATCTATACTGTATGCAGTTTAAAGTGTTATAAGTCGTATTGGACGCTTACAGATCTATGGAATATTTAGTGAATAAAACCCTCATACCTGTGACTGCGGCATTCATTGAAGGTATTTGGATGTTTTAAATGGCGAGTCAACTCTCAACCAATCGCCTTGAAGACTAAGTGGCCTTGGAGCTTTGGTGTTTTGGATCAAGCGGCCAGTACACAACCATTACATTGTGTAAATTCAATATATTTTAAGTGGATAATGTGTCACCCTTCAGGAAACACTGACTACAACTAAATTCGTTGCCTACAGGGAGAATTCAGAGACATGCTCCAGTTTATTACACTACAAACATTTATTTTCAATGAGAAATCTCAATTTCTATCACAAGCTAGCAAGTCAACATAATGAGGTGGATAAGTGTGCAGCTGACTGACCTATTTGCAGCATCATTAATCAGTTAATAAAGCACTGCAGAGAAGGGCTTTTTTTACTCATTAACAATGTGCCACAAATAAATGTGAGTCTTTAGTACCTGAGTCTGTGTGCCTACATGTCCTCTGTGTTCTTTGTTTAACCTGGCTGCAAGAGGCATCTCTCCTTGGGGACAATACAGTTAAAGTAGAATGGCTGTGCATTCATTTGTGTTACAAATAGACCCGTATGTATGCAGGCTAAAGGTGGTGAACAAAAGAGGGATACATTATGATAATGCAATACAATAAAGTCCAATTGATGCAATCCTTTATTACCCTTGAGTTGAACCAGAAGTTATCTGAGAAAAAAAGTTTACATCATTCTAAACTTCATTATGGTCCGTTTATTGCATGGGGATGGAATAGCATTATATGATATTGTTGGTGAAGGGTCATCCATCCCTTGCAGGTAGAGTTACATAAAGTATAAATTACACGTGAGAAAAACTCTGTCACAGATGAAGTTTGAAATATCGTATATAAGTCAAATGTGTAGGTACTTTACTTGGGTAGTTACAGTATATGTAATGTTATACTTCTCCTGTGCTATATTTCAGAAGATTAGATTGTACTGTGTATAGCCACCAACAACTATTTAACAGCTTTAGTGGCTAGATTTAGATTATTCATGCAAAATATAATGGACTGAAATGAAGTAATATCCATGGATAAAGCCTTTAAGTAGTTTAAACTAGCCCTAACCTTTAGTGGGTGCAAACATTTATATATTTTTAATGTACCGTTAGCATATATATATAGAGTATGTTCTTCTTTAATTTTAAGTTTGATTTGATGCCAACAAGGTGCTTTTTACAGAAAATAAATATGAAAACTGTAATAATAATAACAGCCAACACGACTCATTTTTGAGATAATACATTTACAAGTTCAAACATTATATTTACCCGCTTAATTGTGATTGGATCATTAAAAAGCAGTACACCTGTAATATCAACACAGTGAGCCATGCAGTATAATAATCGATTGGCTACAATTCACCCTCATTTCAAATAAAACATTTTTATAAATGTGAATGTAA